GTGGCTTCCCCGTCACCATTCAAAATCGCCACCCCCAATCAATCAATCCAATCAATCTATAATAATATCATGCTTCATATATATATATATATATATATATTGTCTTTTGGGTCTGAATTAGATTGAATCGATTTTCAAAATCAAATCCAAAATTTGATCCAATTCAATAAAAATTGTTGATTCTTTTAGTTTTTAGTATATTCGCTTTTCGGATTTTTGATTGACTTTTTCTATTTTTATTGAGTTGGATCGATTTAGAAATTGACATATCTATTTTGTATGATTTATATTTATTTTTACCCTTTTCTTAGTTTGCATTGCATGTTGGTGTGTGATCATCTTGCTACTGTTGTTTTTCATTGTTAGAATTTTAGTTTTGGCTACATGTTTATATGCATTAGATATTTTTTTTAACAGAATTAAATATATTTTTAATCTCTATAATTTTTTAAAAGAATATTATTTTAATTATTCAAATTTAAAACTTATGTTTTAGTCTCAAATACAAAAAAATAATATTTTAATCTCTCTCAACTAGTCACTATCTATCAATTTGGTATTAGGGACTAAAGTAATATTTTTTTTTGAAATTACATAAATTAAAAAAATAAATTTAAAATTTGAAAGACTAAAATAAAAGTTTTTAATATTTTTAAGAATTAAAAATACAAATTTTAAATTTAAAAGAAAAAGAATACATACACCAAATTTATAAAACTAAATACATAATAAGCAAACTTTATATTTTGTGCAAACTGTTTTCATGGAGTATCAGATTATGCTCTTACTTCCTATATTATATATATGTTAACATTTGGTATTAAGTAGGCTTCAATATCTATTTTATGGATTTGAAAGAATTCTTTCATATCTAGTTATTGAGCTATGATAAATTTTCTTAATTGCTTTGAAGGGAATCTCAAGACCTCTCATTTAATTTTGAGGTTTGCATATTTCATTTAAGAAAAAATGTACAATGCAGATTAATAATGCAGGGATCGGTGGAATGGTAACTGAAGATGCTGATTTAATCAAAGCAATTATCATGAATCGTGGGGTAAGTATGTAGGCAGTAGGCGTGTTCTGTAATCTGGATAATAAATTTGGAATGTTGCATTGTATAAAATAGACATTGATTTTAGAGACCGAATTTCTGGTCTCAATAGATAAAATAAGGCGCCAATTTGGAAACTAAATGCAGTAAATGTATTTATATACAAACTTAGAAGGATTTTTAAGAGATTCTCTATTTAAAAATATGTTTTATTTTCAATAGAGAAGCTTTTAAAAATATTTTTAATTTGTATCCAAATAAAATTTAAATAGTTAAATCATTCATCTCTAATTCTAGAAATTGATTTAAGGGCTAAATTACAAACCAAATTAACTATCCCACTATAACTAAGTAACCACTTATATATAGACATTTTATATAAACAATGATTTAATGGCCAAAAATACAGAAACTAATTCTATGGTAGGTCCGAACTTGACAAGTATATCAATTATTATAGGTAATAAATTGGACAAAAATTTAAGTTATTGAATTTACAAGTATTTATATTATAATTGTTTAATTAAATTTAATACTAAAGAGATGAATTATCAAAAATTAAGAATTTTTCAATGTGAAATATAAAAATTTATAGAATGATAAACATAAAAAGAATATAACATAGTAATGAAGAATTTGAATTTAATTAATAAGAATATATAGACAAAATTTGATTTCACTAATCTTCCCTAGGTAAATCATCCCCAATTTTTATTCAATATTAAAAATTATACAGTTAATTCAATAACTTACAATTATATTTAAAATCTTAGTTCTTTAGGTGAGAAATTCTAAATTGTTTAGGGAAAATCTAATTTTCTTGATAATTTTTTTGTTAAAGTTAGGGATATAAAAAATGATTGAGAAGGCTTATAGCAAAACTTGGTAAATTTTCCTCACAAGTTTTCTGAACACAACTTGAAAACCTTCAACACAAATTTTATGACAAAACTTGATAAAGCCTCCTTTATATGATCATCTCTCTCATTTAAGGCGATGATCCTCTCTATAAGTAGGTTGGGTAATTCTTCTCATCTTAAGAACTTTTATTCATTAACCTAACATCCTAACTTTAAAAAAGGAAAGAAATATGCAAAATAAATTAAAATATATTTTAATTCTAAATAATATCTTAAAAGAATCAATATATTTTAAAATCAAAATAATATCTTAGAGATCTAAATTTGAAAATTTGAATTGTTTTCCCAACAACTCCATCCTCAATTAAAATTTTCAAACTTCATCTTTTTGTTATCTTTTATGTTCATTACAATCATCTTTAATCATATTTTTGTTTTACAGTACTTCACTTCTCTATTCTAGAAGTATTGAAATTGCTTTATATCAATCTTCAATACTCAAGTGATAGGTTAATAGACTACATGCATGAACCATGAGTTCTAATATCACTGTTGGGAACAAAAAGCATTCTTTTTCTTTTACGTGCAACAATAGTGAGAGTACATACAAAAACGTCATACATTAAAAAAATATCACATAATTTGTTTAACATGGCTTAACCCTTTATGTCCACGTATATAAGAATGTTCGTTATTTCAAAATGTATTACATATATATTTTTGAAAATCTTCCATTTAAGTTTTGTGAGTGAAATTTAAAAATCTTTTCTTATAAATTTTATGGGTGAAACTTGGAAACCCCTCCCTCACAATTGTTCTAGATGCAACTTGGAAACTTTCAACACAAGTTTTATGACGAAACTTGGTAAACCCTCTTCCATATGACTCCTTCTCTCATTTAAGATGGTGATCTTCTTTATAGGTCGGGTAATTATTCACATCTCAAGAGTCTTTATTTATTAACATAACATCTTAATCTTAAAAGAGGAAATCAATCTCTAAAATAAACATAATATATTTCAATATTTAAATAATATCTTAAGAGAATCCATATCTTTTAAAATCTAAATAGTATCTTAGAGATTTGATTTTAAAAATTTGAAATATTTTTCTAATAGGTAACAACATCAATCTCCAGCATTGGACACTTAGTCGCTCATGGCTAAGGATTACACAGAAAAAGAAGGATCTTTAAGCAATACGTGATTACATGAATGATCTTACAAGAACACTATAATTTCTCTAAAATTTTGTTCGTAAAAAATAAGTTACAAAAACTTCTTAAAAATTCTAATTTATATTATTTTAAATGGTCTTCTATTTGTTATCCTCGCTCAAAGCGCCCATGTGGTTCACTTAAGCAAGCTTGTTTGATTCTTTTAGAGGTGATCTTTGACTCAACTTGCTTAGAGCACCTATTGTGATTGTTCTAAGAGAATTTTGGCTCGGTCAAAGTAGGTACTCCACTCAATTAAGCAAGCTAGCATCCTCTTCTAGGGGATCTTTGACTTGCCTCATTCAAAGCGAAATTCTGGTCACTTTGAGCGAATTTTAGCTTGTTCAAAGTGAGCACTCCACTATCTTAAATAAGTTAGCTTCATATCTCATGTGTAGTCTCTGACTTGTCTCACTCAAAGCGAGTTGTTGAGCACTTTGAGAAACTTTGACTTACGCTCAGAGCATGTCCAATTAATCTTGAATCAATGATTTCTTTTAAGACTTGTAGCTTTCAAGTTACATTAATTCTATCACATCTCAACAAAGAAAATATATTAAAAATATCTAATATTAAACAATTACATCTTAAAAATAAAATTATCTCTTAATTAAGTGTTTTGTGATAAAAATAAAATTTTGAAATATAAGATATATTTAATAATTATCTAAATTGAATAAAAATTGTAATTTGATGATTACCAATAAAAAAAATATAGTAACAACCCAATCATTGATCGATTATAAGGTAATTGATGTATAATTGATTACATAATTTTCTAAGACCATTTGAAATTCTAATGATGGAAAAATACAAGAGAAGAGTGGAAGTTTTCATGATAGTGATTGGAGGTGTTTGGATATCCCTTCTCTTTTCCTTTTCAATTCCTTTTTGGGTTATGGGAATAGCATATTGTGAACTCTTATAATGACTATTTTCCCTTGTAATGTACTAATTAGGTTTTTCTAAAAAAGTGTAGGTTGAGATCACAACAAATCAATAATAAATATGTTGAAGTAGAGCTTATAAAGGCTTGAAAAATCCTCATCTCGTTTACTAGTTTTTTAGTTGAATTAGCCCCAACCCAAATACAATACTGTATCAAAGCATTTATTTCAACAATATTTTATATGTCAACCTAAATTATCATGTTTTTCTTATAATTGTTGATAATTTTGGAATTGGCTCATCATTGCAATGTCAATGACATATTATATGAGAAATCTGGAAGGTTGTGATTGCTATATTTTAGGGCAGGAGATAATGTTAGGGGTTTGAAAAACTTATGTGATTGAGTTGTCAATACTTTGCAGGCAATATCAGAAGATGATGGGAGAAAGGGAATTACTCAAACATATGAGTTAGCTAAAGAATGCTTGCAAATAAATTATTATGGAGCCAAAATTACTATAGAATCCCTTATGCCCCTCCTCCAGTTATCTGATTCACCAAGAATTGTGAATGTATCATCCTTCATGGGGCAGTTAGAGGTAGACCATTACTTCTTTTGTCAATAGTTTATTAACGTTTTTGCATAAAATCTATCTGAAAATGGGTAAAGAAAGATTAAGCTTGAAATTCTGGTGTTTAGGTAGTTAACGGGAGTTCTTGCTATTACTTAATACTAGCTAAATCTATATTCATCTTTTCTAAATAGTTGATAAATAGCCAATCCATATGTTATGTAATATAGAGTTTAAACAAAAATACATACATCTTTCTTCATCTCTTACTAAGGGTCTTATAGTTTGTAAGGATATAGATGCATATAAATTTATTTTTTGTGTTTCCCTTACAAGTTGAAAATAGACATAATAATATACTAAAAGATGAAAACAAATTTCATTTATAATAATAGGAAATAAGCCAGCAGGTTACAAATGGATCTCCTCAATAAATTGACAATAGTATATTGTTAATAAAAGCTCTAATTAGACAAATATAGTGTGACATAATTCACAAATAATTTTATTCTTTTAATATGTAATTCAAGGTTTGATTCCCATATTTATATGTATGAAAAAATATTTATTAAAAAAATCATTTCTTAAATAAATCTTAGTAACTCAACGCATTATTCATTACCTCTTGGCTAGTGATACCCTGGGATTCACCTTAACACAATTCGAATTAGCGTTCCATATGATGCTGAGGGCTGAGGCTTCGATCCACGTTCAAAATTTCCATATAATTTATATCTCATTCGTTTATAATTGTCTCTCATCTCCTATAATTTGCATAAGGTCTTATTGCTTGATCATGTAAATTTCAGAGTTTCACAAAAGGATCATGGGCTAGAGGAGTCTTCAGTGATGTTGATAATCTTAGTGAAGAGAAAGTGGATGAAATATTGAAGGAGTTTCTTAGAGATTTCCAAGAAGGTTCATTTGAAAGTAAAGGTTGGCCTAGGTACCCGAGTGCCTACATTGTCTCTAAAGCTGCTATGAATGCCTATACTAGAATCCTTGCTAAGAAATATCCCTCATTTTGCATCAATAGCGTTTGCCCTGGTTATGTCAAGACACAATTAACTGCTAATACTGGCTTCTTAACGGCTGAAGAAGGTGCAGCTAGTCCTGTGAGGCTAGCATTGCTTCCCAATGGTAGTCCATCTGGCCTTTTCTACAGCCAGAGTGATGTCGCTTCCTTTTGATTTGTAATCCAATCTTTATGGTTTCAGGACAAATTGCTTGTCAATTTATGATTCCATGTTACACCTTTTCTATTCAGCCTATTTTAAGCACATTATATCATGTTGTATTTACATTATATCATTATCATGTTGTATGTCATTGACGATGTCTTGGGTTAATTTCTCTACAGCTAGGTTTACTGCAAGAGTTAATCTATGGAAATATAATCGTTTTGTGTTGAATTAATTTTCAAGATTACAGAATTTAAATAACTAATAATCATGTTGGTTAATTTCACTATAAAGGGATGTTCAGTTAGCAAATTTTATTGCAAGGAGGTTGTTTGTCCAAGTAATAAATTGTATTAGGAATTAACAAATTTAATTCCCTTCTCCAACACCAAATATACATTTTTACTGATTGAGCCTCATGATTTTTATTTTTTTTTTGGAGTTCGACGAATATCTCTTATAATTCACAGGTAAGTTTAACCAAATTATTAGACTCAATGACCATATTGTCGACGTAGACGGTAGACCTCTATATTCTTGCCGACTTGTGTTTGGAATAGTTTTTTTTTATCAGTCACTAATAAGTGGCTATGACATTTTTCTTGTAACATCCAAAATCTTTTAATAAATTGTAATAAATTGTTTTTAAAAAATATATTTTTTTAATAATTATACTTAAATGATTATCGAAAAAGTAGAAATAATGACCATTTTTGTTTTTAACAAGAACTTGTATTCTAAACTTAGAATAGATATAATATAAGTATAATTAATATATTATAGGAAATACTCCTAAGTGTGACACTATTATACTTCCATAAGATATACACACTACATTAGAGCATATAGCATTTCAAAAAGTTTTGACTACTAATCGACTATAAGTATATATATAAACAAAAAGTATAATCTTACCTTTCCAACCTATAATAAAGTCAAAAAGGAAAAGGTATTGATATTAGAGTTGAAAGTAGTCGACCTATACCATAATATATACTTCCTCACTATCCCACCTATGATCTCTCAGATAGATCACTCTTTGTGACTTTGTCTTTAGCTTCAAGATCATCTTCCAGTCCTCCATGTGACTCAAAAGGTTCAATTGCAAATCCAAGTGCCCATCTAGGAAGAAGGAAACCAAATTGCATACTGGGTGAATATAGTGATAAAGAAAATCTACGAAATACATTAGTAGGAGATTTTTGGGATGTAAGCAAAGTCTCACATCGTTCAAACAAGAGGATGAACATGAGTTTATATACACACACTTGTCTTCATTGGTTTAGAGGCCTTTTGGGTGATGTCCAAAAGTAAAACCGCGAGGACTAAGCTCAAAGTGGACAATATCTCACAAATGTGGAAACGTGTGTATATGTGTAGTAACCCCCACTCAACAAGTGGTATCAAAGCTGATGGTCTGATCTGGTGACCGGCTCGACGAGTATGATGGCTGACAGGTGAATCCAAGTTTGGGATCTCTTGTGTCAAAAGTCTTCCTAACGGTGGGTCCATGTGGATGAGAGGCTTCCTGGTAACATGGAGGATGATGGCTGGCAGGTAAATCCAAGTTTGGGATCTCTTGTGTCAAAAGTCTTCCTAACGGTGGGTCCATGTGGAAGAGAGGCTTCTTGGTAACATTGGTAACATGGAGGATGATGGCTGGCAGGTAAATCCAAGTTTGGGATCTCTTGTGTCAAAAGTCTTCCTAACGGTGGGTCCATGTGGATGAGAGGCTTCCTGGTAACATGGATGGTTAGGAGGGTGCAAGCAAAGTCCCACATCGTTCAAACAAGAGGATGGACATGAGTTTATATACACACACTTGTCTCTATTGGTTTAGAGGCCTTTTGAGTGATGTCCAAAAGTAAAACCGTGAGGACTAGGCCCAAAGAGGACAATATCTCACAAATGTGAAAACGTGTGTATGTGTAGTAACCCCCTAGTGCTCAACAGAGATGATGACTCAAAATATTAATTCACAGATGGTAACAATTTATCAGCCATAACATCATCAAAAGGGGTGAAGGTGGTGGAGGTATCCACACATAGCCAAGATTAAGAGGAGAAATCAATATCACATGTAAATCTATAAAGGAAGGTAGAATTATACTAGTAGAATCTATAAGCATAAAGGAAATAATAACTACTTCTATGAAAGTATCTACATCGAAGTCAACATTGTGGGTTTAGAATCCCTCGTTACTATAATCTAGGAGACCTTCATTATAGACAAAAAATCAAAAAAAGTCATTGACTGCTACTCACACAAAGTCGTACCATACAAAGAAAATAAAGAAATAAAGGAATGAGATATTTACAATATAATTTGAAATCACAAAGTGTGGTAGTATTAGAGTCTTAATTAAATAAAGCAATCATTCACGATGATTATATGAATTATGTTATAAATGAGAACCTATCATTTTTTTTAAATTGACAAATTCATCATGCATGACTTATTACTAATTTCTTTTATATATATATATATATATATATATAT